ATCTACAATAAGCTATCTCAAGTTTTCATGTTACGTACACTCATGAAAAAGAAAACCCTGAGAAACAAGTAGTATGTAGTGAACAAATACTACATCCATCAATTTACTAAGGACTAAGTATAAATGACATTAAAATATTATTTGGGGTTTTTTAAAAAATTGGTCAAGTAAGAGAATCGGCCATAAAGAGGTGGAAAAACATCAGGAAAAAAAAATTCTATCCACACACTTAAGCAGAGTTGATTGTATAATTAACACACAAGTCCTCAGAGTTTTAATTTCTTAACTCTTGTCAAACATGAATCTGTGAAATGATTGCCTTGTAAGCCTGAAATTCCTGCTGTTTACATCTGAATGGTTGTCGAATCTAAACTGGGTCAATGTTAAATTACTAATCTGGTATTTTCTGGTCAACTAAGGGAATTCTCTTATCCTCCGGGAACATCTGTCTTTAACAATAATGTTCCACAGGATTCCAGGCTGCCAGAGTTGCGTCACTGAGACTGTGAGTGAATAAAATATCAGACCTATGGCCATTTCCACTAGTTTAAACAAAACATCAGACTCCTTTGAGTTATAAAGAGTTAACATCAGTTACTGGAATCACAGCTGACACAAAATGTTCTCACCAGAGACACCTGAGTCATGGGTTTTGCTACCCTTTTTATATTTGGCTCAATTTATTTTTCAAATTGTAAAATAATATACGCATGTACAGAGACAGCAAGCCTTAAGGTAAAACTTTGACCAATGTCTTGCTGAATCACAGTGGGGAATATAGAGCAGCTGAAACAACCAAAATATTTGACATTTCCAGATTCTTAAGTTATTAAAAAGTATTTCTGTATTCTTCAGTTATTTTATGGATTTAGTCAATGATTAAATGAGTCAGGAATTAAATTCCCTGTCTCATGTATCTTGAGTTGTGGCAGGTGCTTGGCTTAGCATATTAGTAAAGTAGTATCACTGTATTACTGACAGAGTGCTATGCACCTGTAGAAAAAGGAAAAAATAAAACAGATTAAGCATAATCGGTATGCTTAATTGTATTTTCCTGAACCTTTTTACCTTTTTAAAAATGAAAAAAAAGTAAACTTTTCATCATCTTGAAGAAAGAGCTCTTGCATGGGTAAATAATTTGTTCCATATGGGGTAGATGTAGCCCACGTTATAGTTAAAAAGAAGCTTGCAAGTATTTATCCACTTGAATAGGTAGTTTAAAAACTTCTGTAGTTTTGTAAAGTAAGGGCTTGTCTACAGGTTAAGTCGACTACAAGTTAAACTCTCCCTGCCATGGTGCAGGTAAGATGGAGTGAGTTGCCATATTCCTTAAAGTTTCTTCCTTTTCACTGCTTACCACTGCTAGATGGGAAGGTTGATGATATTCAGTAGGACAGAAAAGTCATTCCTTGCAAATGCATGTCAAATGTAACACCTAAAATATAAGAAGTGGCCATTGCTGTGACCGTTAGGACAGAATTAACACAGGATTTACATCATGGCTGTAAATGAAATGTTCCTGGTTGTCACCAACAACGTAGATTAGGGAAGAGTACCACAAGGAACCAGGGCAACAAAGGGGCAGGACTACGAGCAAGAATTCCAAGATGCTCTCCCTCCCAGCAGCCAGGAACTCTTCCTGGTCTCTTCTACATTACCACTCAAAATCCCTCAATAAAGCCAATTCTCTTGTGATAGATGTTTATTTCATAATGACATTTTACCAATAGTAAATTTATGTCTCCACTGTATCTATAAACAAAGTCTCTATAAATAGTATAAAACAAGCAACCTTCTTGTTTATGGTCAATATTTTGAGAATTAAACAAACATGCATCCCTCCATCAAAGTCAGTTTTGATCCATTCAACTTTTAAATGGCGATTTTAGAATAAGATACATGCTTAAATTGCAGCAAGGGTGGGTGGCTCAGGTTGGACATTAGGAAAAACTTCCTGTTTATCAGGGTAGTTAAGCACTGGAATAAATTGCATAGGGAGGTTGTAGAATCTTTATCATTGGAGATTTTTAAGAGAAGGTTAGACAAACAACTGTAAGAAATGTTCTAGATAATACTTAAGTCCTGCCATGAATGCTGGGGACTAGAGTAGATGACCTCTCGAGGTCTCATCCAGCCCTATGATTCTATAATACTCCTGCTCTCATAGATATTATAGAATAAACTTAGAATTACCTAGGCAATCCATATTCTCCCATCAAAGAATGAATAGTATCAGTTTATGTTTAAGAAAGCATTTGTATATGTGATGAAGTGGAGAAACTGCATGGAAGGGGCTAAAGAGAACCTTTGGGTCCAGTCGGCCTCGACTCGTCATACCTGCAGCCAATGCCTGGCCTGGAGTGGGAGGAAAAAGAGAAACTGGCTCAGTTCAGGGCTGACTGTAAAAGAAGCAGGAGCTAGCTGCCTCCCTACTGCAGGGGAAGGATCACTAGCCTGCCAGTGAAGGCAGTCACCAGGAAATAAGTACCATCTCCCTGGCTAATGAAGATTGTGGAGGAGACTTAGGAGCACCTGGCCTAAGAGAGAATTCAATAACTCACCTGGCCTAAGAGAGAATTCGATAGCACAGAGTTCTTGTTGGGTTCCAACCCTGCCAAATTTACAGCTGCCCCACCCAGAATCAACCTGGGACCACATCAATATACCACCCAAGGTGCACAAGGAGACACTGCTTGAGACAAGCCATCACAGCAACTTGGATTATATGGGCTGTGCCCCAAACTGAAGGAACAGCGGTAGGAAGGAGCACAGGACAGTGGCCATAGACTCCCCGCAGGGAGATCCATAATTCAGGGGTTGACTCACACAGGCCCTGGACTAGGACCTGCTGGAGTGGGAGGGACCAGGTTCCACTACCCCAAAGACTCAGACACCTTGAACAGGGAAGCAAGGGGCCGGAAGTCATGCATTCCAACCAACAGGCCACCCGGCCCTCCCAGGCCCCTGTTACAATACAGTACCTACATAAAATCAATAATATATTTTTCAGTTAAATGTACTAATACATACACATTTAAAATTTTTAGGACCTTAATTTTAATCACCACAGCATGTTTTAAACCTGGATGACAGAATGTTTCACATATTATATATAAACATTTTGACAAAAGACCTTTTTTTACTTTCAGTAACAAACAAGTTTCTAGTTCATTTGACAGAGACTGAAATGTATCTTGAGAGTATATCCAAAATTGTTACAATGTTTTAAGAGATCTTTAACTCATATCTCATTATCTGCTATTCTATTATATGCGAATATTTGTCAACATACAGTACTGTAAATACAGTGCCATACAATATATCCTTCCCTATCCATTTTTATACAGCATATCCTAAAACAATCCCTAAAAACAACCTCTAAGGTAACTCCCTGTTGAACTAGATAAAGCACGCAAAATGAATGTTTCTCTAAACAAACGAATGTACTACTCCATAATGATTAACTACTCCCTCCAATCTTTGCCCTATATAATGCTATTTTGATCAATACCTGCAGTTACCAAGATTTAGATAGCTAAACAAATATACAGAACAAAATGTTTAAACTTAAATGTATTTTTTGTAACTGCAAACTAGTAACTAGATGATTCTAGGTTTTCCATAGTTAGATGTATATAACATTGGTAACTACTTTTCAATAAACTTTCAAATAAACGTATATAATTTCTCTGTTTTTGTGAACATTTTCTAGTCCTATTTATAGCACTGCTACTGTTGTACTATCATTACACTTACACTCTCCAGCTCTTCCTCTTATCCCTTTCCAATCCATTCACTAATCACTGCTTTCGCTTCCTTCTTTTGCACTCAGCTTCATGTCTTCTTCCTTGAGACCGCTTAGCTTATATCTAGGGCCTCCTTTCTGTCTCTATCTCATTATATCTTTTCCAAGTTCCTTCTCAAAACACACTTCTTCAAGGAAGGTTTATAAGCACTCTTTTTTTATTATAATAATAAATGAAACTCTCAAGACTTGTGCATAGTGACCTAAACTGCAAGTTCTTATTGCTGACACATCCCTAGCCCTCTTCCACTCTCAGTTTGCCACCTATTCCTAATCCCCCCCATCCATTTTAGGGCTTTAATTTATAATCCGATTTGCATGAGCAGACAACTGTACTCATGCATAGTCTCATTAACTTTAATGGGACTCTACGCAGGCTCAAGGATCCAATCACACTGATCAGATTGCAGAAGTGAGGCCTTCAATTGTAAACTCTTCTGAGCAGGAACTGTACCATTATTTGTCTGTAAAGAGAAGAAGGATGATCTTCTGATTAAGGAATTGGATTGGGACCCAAGAGATCTTGATTCTGTTCCCAGTTCTGTCACAGACTGTGTGTGACTCTGGGCGACTCTGGGCAAGTAACAATTTCTATTGCTTCAAAACCCCAGTTGAGAAAACACACTTCCCTTTCTTATAGGGTACACTAATGTATCTGAGGTGTTCAGATACAACAGAGATGAGGGCATAGAAAACCAGTATTTAACGAACCACATATGCTTATAGTATAGTACTGTGTAAAATAATAATGACAACAAAAATTATTAGATATAGTATAGACTTGTCTAAAGTAATGAGTCCATTCAATTGATAAAAAGGAGCTCTTGCCAAATATTTAGATATTACAGTACAAAGAAACCTGTCTTGACAACTATGGCATAAACTTTAATTATTGGGATGGTGACAGGAACATTTCTAAAGAGAAACAAATATTGACATTTCTTTTGTTATATGGAATATTTCAGTTTACAGGCATTTTTACTATCTCACCAAACTGACACAGCTACCCACTTCTTCACCGACTGAATTGTACAGGAAAGCTTCTGCAAGCATACAGTACTTTCGCCTATCTACGCCAGTTCCACATAGGGGAATATACATTATTGTACACAGTGCAGCATTCTATAATATGAAGATTTTCTGTACTTAATATATTTGTATAAAAGTTCAAAACAACAAAATTTTCCTTTATTACCTTTAAGCATTGTTCTTCCAGTTGACCCTCCAAAGATGTTTAGAAGACCACTTCTTGCTCCCAGTGATGTAGTTGCTTCTAGTAGAGCACCAGTGATAAAGTTAGAGAGTGACGTCCTTTGTAAAGTGGCACGGTACTCAGAGCAAGCACTTTCTACGCATGGTTTTACAAAAGAGACATTTTTGCATCTGCAATCTGCATCTAGTGTTGGAAGCTCTCTCAGAGGATGGAGACAATATTCAAAAGTATCTTCCGCCGCCTCTTCCTCCTTCACTGCATTGTAGATCTGTGAAAAATATAAAAGCATGAAGTGTTAGTTCAATTTGCTGAGGACAATAAATTGAACCTTCCGAAAAAACATCAGCATGACTTCTTGTAAAAGTTCAATGGGCTCAAAGAATAAAGACTCTAGCAGCTAGAACATTGTATTTATATATTAAACTGTAAAATACTAAGAATCCAAACCTTATTTGCAAAGATTTTGAGTGGGGATTTTAAACTAGCTATTTAAATAAGGCTGTTTTCTAACAGGATGCTTAAAAACTACTACTTTAGTGTGTCCCAATTCCAAACAGGCTTTACTGATCATCATATTACTAAAATATGCCATGAAGAGAAATTGAGGCAACATTTAAATTAAAAATTATTTATGACATTATTATAAGACTAGACATTTTTTGACTAATTAATAATGTCCTATTGATTTCAATGGCAGTAAAAACAGTTTCATTAAGAGATTTTTTTGGTTTAGGGTTTTGTTTTTTTTTAATCCATAAGAACAATCTTTCAAAATGTTCTGGTATTATGCTCATTACCTACATCCAGCATATGCCTAAGTTCTCTGCCTAATATTGGTTTAGTTCTCTTTTTCCAATACGCATGCTCAGACACTAATTAAGTTCATTCTATGGCTTAGCTACCAAGTAATTTTTGTTTACTTTAAAAGAGCCTAATGATCAAAGCAAAAAGCTTCCAGAAATCTTTTTCCATGTAATATACAAGGAAACACTTGATATTTCACAGTCTTATATGGCTAAACTGCCGATTAATGTTAATACTCTGTTTTCAAGATTTACTTTTTGAAATTAAATAATGTGAATTAGCAAACCAAAAGTTAATGTAGCAAAAGGTTAGCTAAATAGTTACCAGTATGGATACCGAGATAAGTTGCAAAGGCCTGTCCCGAAACCAGACAGCAGTGCAAGCAATTTACAACTTTGGAGTTAAATCATTATTCTCACTTCACTCAATAAATCTACTCTACCTGAAATAATTACTTCTGAATTTAACATTTAAGTAGTTTTAAAACCGACAAGTTAATCTTATGAATGCTGCAGATTAAGGAAGGATTTTACTAGGTGAGAGACTGACTGCATTTGCTTTGCTTTTTAAAATTATTTTATTAGCTCTTGGGTTTCCTTTCTCTCCACCCTCACAGCAAGGTTCACTGCTACAGTATTTCCAGACATGGCGACATGAAAGGAAAGAGAACACATTATAAAGAAAGGGGAAATCTAGATACAGAGCAGCAGAAGGTAGGCTACTCAGGATGAACTGTGAGGGAAAAAGAAAAGGAGTACTTGTGGCACCTTAGAGACTAACCAATTTATTTGAGCATGAGCTTTCGTGAGCTACAGCTCACTTCATCGGATGCCACGAAAGCTCGTGCTCAAATAAATTGGTTAGTCTCTAAGGTGCCACAAGTACTCCTTTTCTTTTTGCGAATACAGACTAACACAGCTGTTACTCTGAAACCTGTGAGGGAAAGTATCAACAAAATCTACAAACACAAACAACTGTCAAAAATACGGCATCCAAGGTTGTACTAATGTTACTAGAATATTTTTTATAAACGCAGTGGATTTTGCCTCATACACTATGTAGGACAACAAGACAAAGTCTGCTGCACTCTGAAATCAGAACTGAAGTGCCTCTGAAGGGAGATTTTCAAAGTTACAGATGACAGTTATGCACCTAACTTTAATGAAAGTCCATGGGAGGGGTAAGCACTTATCTGTCATTGTACCATGAACAAATCTTCCTCCTACAAATGACTCGATCTCCATAATACTCTTCACCCTAACTGAATAGATGAGAGAGTCCTGAGCCCAGACCACCTTGTAAAGGTGCACAGTACTGTCATATCTGGACTCAGACCATTAGTTCAGTCCTTCAATAACTTTGTACTGTGATTCCATGAGATCTTGATAGCTAATCAGTATAATGATGATTCATTGCTTAGACACGAGACTACCAAAAAAAACCTAGGTGGTAGAGAGTGGTGCTAGTGATTCAGGCACTTTTCTTTAATCAATTCCCTAGAGATACCATCTTCCGAATAAGATGTAAAACTAAGACTTTGTTCCATTAAAGATCCCTTTTACATTTAACCTGGCAATGTTAGCTACGGTGTTGTGGCCAAAATCCAACTTATGTATGTATTTCTATTTACTACAAAATTTCCCATCCAGGGCAAACATACAATCTTTATAAAAAGCAATATAAAATAGGGTCTAAGGTCCCAAAAATAAGGACTCTCCCAAACCACCACAGCTCAGACTATAAAGTTATACCAAGCAATTATTCATCACCCCTTCTAAAATGTATAAAACAGATGAGCCTTGCAGCACAACCTGAAGATTAACAAATCCAGACTCTGGAACACCAACAGAAGCAAATTCCACAGTCAAGGATCCCTCACTGAAAACACACTACATTCAGTCCTATCACAATTAAACAGGGCAATGTTAGTTCAGTCAAGTTGTCCTTGTTCTCCAACACCAGCTTTCATTTTGATCAGACTGGAGGCAGTCTTCTCAGTTCAAGGACCTCATCCCTGGATCTTCCTCACCAAAGTCCTCTAGCTATCTGCAAGTTTTGGTGTAAGGCTATCAGTTCATGCTTGTCCACTTCACCTTTCTTATTCACAAGCACTTCCTATTTAGAGTTGTTTTTTTTTAAATTAATTGACTATGTTATTGACAAAATGGCTGCTTCTCTCACATATATTGGGCTGAATTCTATTTGTTCTTTTAACTTTCATATATATAATTAATTATAATGATATACAAATATACATTCATAAAGCACTTCAGAATTTTTAAGTGAAAGGTGCTATAGACATGCACAGTAATGTGATGGTAGCACAAACAGTGCTACTTGCTTAACAGTTTTTTCTAGATGATCTTTGGAAATGGTTTGCTTTTGGTCAACTGCCCTTCCCCTGCCCCTCAGTTGTGTGTTTTACTCCCAAAGCATCCTCACACATATTTAACATTGTAATTTAACTTGAAATTACGAAAAATTCTATCTATAAATGTGCGCATTAGGCTTCAATTTACTTCACTGGCAGACCCCACTCCATTTTGCCCTTTCTATATTATACCAATGGGAGATAAACAGCAACCATTAGTGGTTTACTTTCATATCATTTATATAACCATACAGCAATATGAACACAGTTTTACTACAGTACAACTAGACTCAACTTATAGTTAAAGGCATGGTTGCAACATGCTTAAAACTCTAAACGTAATTTGAACAGATGCATAAAAAGATATAAATTAATGTGGTGATATTTTTGATACCTTGTACCAATTCTGCAGTTTTCATTCAGGCAAAACACTCATTGAAAGCAACTGATGTTTTGTTTGAACTAGTGCTGCAGAATTTGGCTCCCAAGTAATATATTGGAATTCATTTTGAGCCATAATATTTGGGACTCAAATATAATGCAATGTTTATTAAAATAAATATTTTAAACTTAAATTTAGTATTTGTTTATTCCAATACAACAACTTTAGGGAAACAAATTTCAATTTTATTTAGTCTATAATGTGTAATTTACTATTATGATAATTGATAATTTAATATCACATTTAGTAATGCAATTCAATTACTCCCGGACAGAAAACTCTCAGACTTGTTAATATAGAATATAAACCACATAAACAATCTCCATGGATTTAAACTTTTCCAAGGTGAGTCACTTCTGAAGCTCTTAATTTTATTAGAAATACAGCATCTGTGACTCAGAACCCAATGTTGAGACAACCTGACTGACCTCTAAGGGCTCCTTCTAAAATTAGAAAACAATGAATGAGATCTTTAGGCATTTGATGTCAACAGGATGAATCAAACTTAGCTTATTACTAGATAACAAATACAGATTTCTTAACTCCAGTGAGAATGTAATGGTATACTGAAATAAAGGCATGAGACCTTGTCATTTTTCCATAATTAATATTATTTTTCATCTGGTTTCTTAACTTTTTCTAACATTCTATGGAAAACATTAAGGTTTTAATTGTGGCACTTTTTTTTTTTTTAGAATACAACTGTTTTATGAATTCTGCACAATCACAGACTCATACAAGATTAGAGTTAGAAGGAGGTCATCTAGTCCCACCCCCTGCTCCAAGCAGGGGATTGGACTATATAGGCATGAAGTTAGTTACTTAGTTCAAGGAAAGCAAGAATGAACTCTAAGCAAGAACACAGTCCTAATTTTGACCAAGGAAGAAAAGGTGCTCTCAGAGGAGGTACTTCCTCCAGTAAACAACTTCAGGGAAAAACTGGGTGATTGTATGCCATGCATTTCAGAATGGTGTAGCAAGAAATGCTGAACACAGGGCCCATGGAGACATCTCTCTCTCCATGCTGTTCAGGAGAAAAGGGAGTTCCTCCCCCATGGTATTCTACACCACACCATATCGGCCTATATATATTACTTTTTAAAAACCTTATTAAAAGAACGTTAAGGTTGCAAAGTCAAGCTCACAAAAGTTAGGAAATGCCAGAATTAATGTAGCCCATGCCATCTCAATCCAGCCCCCTTATATATATATATATATATATATATGCGCATTACAATACAGTCTTTAATGACATGATCACATACTATTTTGTCCACAGGACCCCTGCCTCATTTAGCGCACAGGATGGAGTGTGCTCACTGAATGGTTACTGTAAATATGTAATTATTTCAATCCTCATCATTTGATGTTGGCCCCATGCATTATTTACTGCATACCATCCAAGCCCTGCACTGAAAACAGAACCATTACTTTCCTTAAAGGTTTTGTCTATAGTGATCTCATATATCTTAGTTCTTTAAAAATATTAATGAATTTATCTTCAAACATCCCTGTGAGGTGAAATAGTGGTATTATCCTCATTTTACACCTGGGGAACTGAGACACAGACTGAACCTAAACTTTTCAAAACTATCAACAACTTTTGAATACCCAATTTGAGACACCAAGAGTTTTCGGAGTACATAGCATT